AGAAATATTACAGATAAATCATTGAAATACCATGTGCAATGCTAACCATCAAAATATCTGGGCAGTCAAAGCAGATCATCAAATAATTAAACTTTCATGAAATATATTCTTGAATAAGTTATTTAGCTACCTGGCTATCTATTGTGGGTTTTTTAAAAAAGGAGAGTGGTTTCTAAGTAAATAATAGATTTTCTGTCTCTAAAAAAGCATCTGATTTAACTCCATTATCTAAAAGTCCTTGTTTAGAGGTGCAAATATTTGTAGAAGCCAAAATTTAAAAACAATTTCTAGACAAATTGAAGTACTTTGCTATTGTACTATTTTTCTTAGCATCAACCGTCAACATATGGTTTAGTTATTTGCATCCTGGCAAAGAAAATATTATTTGGAAAAACAGAATTTTCTGCCTTCTTTATCAGCCCAAGGTATCCATCTGCTGCCATCATCAGAACAATATGCTTCCCTGTTCTTATGCAGAAAAGCTAAATTTAAATATCAAGCAGAATTGATCTGGCGATATCTATTTTAGATGTGTAACAGAATATTTTAGCAATACCTACCTACTTTTAAAACAATTTTATGTAGTAAATCCAAATCAGAGCTGCTAGGAAGATAAGGATTTCCAGTGGCCATCTCAATGATCATACATCCTAAAGCCCAGATATCCACAGGTCTGAAACAGATCAGAATAAATCACCTTTACATGCAGAAATACAAGGATACTTCAACTGTTTTGTGAAAAAATGAAATTAAATGATAATACAAATCTTTCTATGAACTTTTTGAAGACTCCTCATATGTAAAATATCTATTCTAAAAAAAAATTTAATAAGATCAAGGTTAAAGAATATTTAAGTGGTATCATTTATGAATTTTCACGGCAGCATCATATGCCAACTTTAGAATATACATTAAACAGTACAACATTTTATTATTAATAACATTAAATAATTTGTAATTAAGTTGCATGAGAAGAAAAGTAGCAAGTCTAGATAAAAAGTAACTAATTCTAAAATTGTTCCAGATATTTATATAAGGATATTATCATAATGGCTTATCAATTAGAATAACTGA